ACAGGCGCCCGCCACAACACCCGGCTATTTTGTGGTTGCAGCCATCATTGTTGTTTGGCGGGTCCGGGCTGGGATTCGAACCCGCCACCTTAGTTGTACGTGGCTGGCGCCTTAGCCAGTTGAGCTATAGGCGCCAAGCCTCTTTTCAATTTCATGCTTTATTTTTCCAGACAGGAAGGTGTTAGAAAAAAGAGTGTTCACTGATGTGACAGGGTTAAGAAATAAGGCATAGTCATTTTTGTCACATGTATGACTCTAGAAATAGTAAAGTGTAGTTGATATCATGATATAAGAGGGTCAGCACCTGTAGCTCAGAGGCTAGGGCACCAACCACATACACAGGAGCTGGTAGATTTGAATCCAGCCTGGGCCTGCCAAAAAACAATGACAACTGCAACCAAATAATAGCTGGGCATGGTGGTGGGCACTTGTGGTCCCAGCTACTTGGGAGGCTGAGGCAAGAAAATCACTTAAGCTCAAGAGGTTGAGGTTGCTGTGAGCTGTGATGCCATAGCACTCTACTGAGGGTGACATGGTAAGACTCTGTCTCAAAAAAAAGAAAAAGAAAGAAAGAAGAATTCCATGCCAAAATAGATGTGTTTGGCTGGGCCTGGTGGCTCACACCTGTAATCCTAGCACTCTGGGATTGCCTGAGCCAGAGCAAGACATTGTCTCTAAAAAAAAAGAAAAGCTGGGTATCATGGCAGGCACCTGTAGTCCCAGCTACTTGGGAGGCTGAGGCAAGAGAATTGCCTGAACCCAGGAATCTGAGGTTGCTGTGAGCTATGAAGCCACAGGGTGTAAAAAAATAGATGTGTTCCTTCCATGAATAATTTTGTTGTTTGGGGGGTAGGAGAGATATAGTGTACTTGTTGTTTCTCTAGAATATATTGCCGTTGACCTGTGGTTGAGTTCTCCCAGGCCACCCTCTCAGCAGCCCCTGGCATTCCGGGCTCGGCTTGCTCACCTTTTCCCTCTTGCATCTCTAACAGCTCCTCCACTGGCTTTTTCCGCACCCTTCTCCCCTGCTGAAATCCTCTGTCAATCAGGGACCAACTCACATGTCCTCTCCTCCATCAACCAGCCTTTCCAGAGTTTCCCTCACCCTCCCCAACTAGAATTCACCTCTCACACTCCCCATGTTGCTTTTCTCGCTTCTCTGATCTGAACTTGAATGATGCCTCTTCCCACTTCTAACAGAGCTAAGGGGACCGTCTTGTTTTTCTGGTATCCCACAATACTCACATGGAGCCCTGCCCATGGCAAGTACTCAACAACGACTTGGCTAAATCATATCATGTTCTCCATCTGGTGTACTTAATGCCATGATGGCTCTTATATCAGAGCTCAGGTATGATATGCAAGTTAGTTTTTAGTGGGAAAAAAGTACCCAAATATGTACTATTGCATTTTATAATTCTGGACAAATATTAAGTGTCTACTTACTACATATAACTTTTTTTTTTTGAG